AACATTAATTAACATCACTGAAATCTCTGTAACATTAATTAACATCACTGAAATCTCTGTAACATTAATTAACATCACTGAAATCTCTGTAACATTAATTAACATCACTGAAATCTCTGTAACATTAATTAACATCACTGAAATCTCATACTAGCTCGTGGGTTATATAATTCAATAGTGCAATATGACCTGCACGTTCTTCGAGTGATTTCCAACTTTTTATGGTGCGGATAGCAATTATAGTAACAATATAAATAGATGTATACTATTACAAACTTAGAGCTACTTAGAGATGAGGAAAAGTATTTTCAATTTTAACATGAAAATTACTTTGCACACAGACTCTTCAAAACAAATACTCAATATATTAATGGACAAATCTTTATTTTATTAAAAATACTTCACTAAAAATATAATTTTATGTATGCGAAATACTTGTAATGTTAACTGAAAGACTGTCAAATTTCATGAAGATATACACACTATATTGAGATTTCTAAATATTAAATTTATAAAGACTTTAAACGAGTACAAAAAAGGTCACATGGTCGGTCTAACTGACCAAGCCAGTATTGAGAGAGAGAACTCTTTCAGCACAGGCTTGATCCCTGGGGCTGATCTCATAACCATTTTGTGCTTGTCATAGTTTTCATGCTATAACTTTTAAATTAGTAAGCATATATTCATTAAGTTCGGCAGATTATCAGTAAACACTACAAGACTTTCAAATGCAATATATCAAAATATTTTTAAGGTTTTTTAAGTCAATGTTTTTCTCCTGCCTTTTTTCTTTTCACATGTTGCCTATCCAACATGCAAAGTAATTGTCATTTTAAGATTAAAAATACTTTTATGCATCAGAAACTTTTCAAATTTCACCTGCGAAATCTTTATAACATCCAGATAGTTATCAAACGTTTGTCAAGAAAAACTTTATACTTTATCAGTTATTTTCACCAACAAATCTCTGTACGAATTCAGTCGATTTGACCAATCTCGTAACCATCATAAAAAATTAGGAAATAAATATAAATTACTCCTTTTTCATTCTAGAATGACAACAAATTATAACACAAAAATGTGAATGTGTAGACTCAATAGCTTAAATCTCATAACATTATACATATTTATTATTTTCATTATATTGACCTTTCAGCCATGCCTGGCTAACAATACAGAAGTTACAATGACGCGGCACATGTGCACTCATGTTACCATATCAAATAATATAAAACTGATCTTTGGTCTTTACAAAATGATCTGTCTAGTATTTTGACATCACAAACATCTAATGTGAACAAGTACTGTATTCAACATACCACGTAACACACAAAAATCAATGTTTATGGGTATGTTTTTTTAATATTTCCTTTTAAGTTAAGAAGTCAAATAATGTATAATACTAAAATTTGAGTTATAATCTACAGTTTGATACCAAACTTATTGACATAAATTCATGAAATATTAGTTCAACAAAATTCTAAACGCGAGTCGTAAAACTATGTACACATTTCTTACTTTGGAAGCTGAACATAGTTCCCTGGAAACACCCCACTGCGTCCAGTACGTAAGGATGTTCCTTTAAACCATCCATCCTGGCACTTTTCACAGACAGTGTACAACTCTCCTTTCTTCAACTCTAACTCATCTTCCTTATGTGGCTTGTAGTTGTAGACAGCAACATAACTTTAAAAGATAAAGTCTTTAACCATCAAAGAACAACTGAATAATATCGTGTTGCAAGAATATATTAAATGTTCTTATAAGTTGTTCCTATAAACACGTTAGATTAACACAAACATTTTTCTACATCAACATAACCAAACAGCTGTTTATTCTAAGTTTAATGCAGAAGATTACTTACAACACAGGCACAGGAACGTGAGTGTTGTTAGGACCATGACTCGATGAAGTAGGTATCCCATTGTTACTTCCCGATTCTGTTTCACTAGTCTCTTTCTGGGGAGTAGAATTACCAGTATTTCTTTCTCTGCGTCCGCTATGACGTCTGACGATCCTAGCACCACTTGACTCTGCCCACTATGCATATAATAAGTGTATAACTTATACTAGGATCCAAACTAAACTGATGTACAAAATCATAGAGCACCTCAACAGAGTGAATGAAATCACGTGTGTTTACTTTACATCCATGTACTGCTATTACAGTGGTTAAACACATGCACAACATAAGCTAATCATATGTTGCTCAATGGATGTAGATCACGAATAAAACATTACAAAATACAAGCAATTCATTAGCACTGATTAATGTATTACATTGTACTACCTCAACAGTTTATAATATTCTAATCAGAAATATTTCACGTAGTAAAGTAATAGCTACTCTGTAGTTTAACAACATTAGTCAAGTAATAGATTACCATGTAGTTTAACAATATTACTCGAGTAATCGATTACCTTGTAGTTTAACAATATTACTCGAGTAATCGATTACCTTGTAGTTTAACAATATTACTCGAGTAATAGATTACCATGTAGTTTAACAATATTACTCAAGTAATAGATTACCATGTAGTTTAACAATATTAGTCGAGTGATAGATTACCATGTAGTTTAACAATATTAATCAAATAATAGTTTACCATTTAGTTTAACAATATTAGTCGAGTAATAGATTACCATTTAGTTTAACAATATTAGTCAAGTAATAGATTACCATGTAGTTTAACAATATTAGTCGAGTGATAGATTACCATGTAGTTTAACAATATTAATCAAATAATAGATTACCATGTAGTTTAACAATATTAGTCGAGTAATAGATTACCATGAAGTTCAACAATATTACTCAAGTAATAGATTACCATGTAGTTTAACAATATTACTCAAATAATAGTTTACCATGTAGTTTAACAATATTAATCAAGTAACAGATTACCATGTAGTTTAACAATATTAATCAAATAATAGTTTACCATTTAGTTTAACAATATTAATCAAATAATAGTTTACCATTTAGTTTAACAATATTAATCAAATAATAGTTTACCATTTAGTTTAACAATATTAATCAAATAATAGTTTACCATTTAGTTTAACAATATTAATCAAGTAACAAATTACCAT